AGGACTTGAGGGATTCAAAGGATTGTTGGCATTCTTCCGTCCACACGAACCCTCGGGACTTCTTCACCGCTTGGAAGAACGGAGCGGCTCGGTCCGCCACCTTGGAAAGGAAGCGGCTGAGCGCAGCCAACTTTCCGGTCAAGCGCTGCACCTCCTTGACATTTCGTGGAGCTTCCATGTCAAGGATAGCGCGCACCTTCTCGGGGTTGGGCTCAATACCACGCCTGCTCACCATATGTCCCAAGAATTTGCCACCCTGAACCCCGAACGTGCACTTCTTCGGGTTCAACCGAAGGTTATACTTCTCCATAATCTTGAAAACTCCTTCTAAGTCTTCCGCATGGGTGGTCGCCTGCTTGCTCTTCACAATCATGTCATCGACGTACGCTTCCGTGCTCTTCCCGAGGACGGGTGCAAAGAGCTTGCTCACCATCCTAGCGTAGGTCGCCCCGGCGTTCTTGAGCCCGAAAGGCATCACCTTATAACAATATACTCCGCCAGGGGTAGTGAAAGATGTCTTCTCTTCGTCTTCGGGGTGCATCCGAATTTGGTGGTACCCGCTGAAGGCGTCCATGAAACTCATGAGCTCGCAGCCCGCCGTTTCGTCCACCAGCTGGTCGATGTTCGGGAGTGGGAACGGATCCATAAGGCAGGCCTTGTTTAGATCGGTGTAGTTCACGCACATCCTCCAAGTGTTTCCCTTGGGTGCCAGCACCACGTTGGCCATCCACTCTGGGTACTTAATCTCTCTGATATGCCCAATGCTCTAGAGGGTGGCCACCTCCTTGGAAACAAACTCCCTCTGCTCGGATGAGAGGAACCGCTTCTTCTGCTTCACCGGCCTAGCCTCCGGGTTGACTGCCAAGCGGTGACATATGACCTTGGGGTCTACCCCCGGCATATCCCCGGGTCCCCATGCAAAGATCACGCGGTAGGCGGAGAGCACGTCCACTAAGCGCTTCCGCTGGCTCCCGGTTAGGCTCACCCCGACCTTCACCTTCCGCTCGGGTGCTCGAGGGTCGAGCGGCACTTCCTCGACCTCCTCAGCGGACTCGGCCTTCGTCCGTGCTTCCAGCTTCCGCATTTCTTCTTGTGCATGCACGACCAATGTCTCATCCCTTGGCAACTTCTTTGTGATTCGGACATAGCATGACCGAGCTAACTTTTGGTCTCCCCTCGCCACCCCGATTCCCGAAGGAGTGGGGAACTTCATGCACAAGTAGTATGGGGAGATCACACATTCCAAGTCCTCAAGGCCGGGCTGTCCTAGGATCATGTTGTGCGCGCAGCTGATGCTCACAACCATGAACTCCATCTTCAACCTGGCCTTGTGCGCACCATCCCCTACTATCACGGGCACGGTGACGACTCCTTCGGCCTCGATGGAGTCCCTCGTGAACCCGGAGAGAGGAGTGCGCACGGGCCTTAAATCTTTGCGGTCCAAGCCGAGGTCTTGAAAGGTCTTCTCATACATTATGTTGACCGAGCTTACCGTGTCCACCAAGGTGCGATGCACTATGGCGTTGTTGATCTCCATCTTCACGACTAAGGCGTCCCGGTGGGGGCTCGGCGTGTCCGGAAGATCCTTCTCCGTGAATTCGATTTGCTGTCGTCTTCCGAGCTTGGGCGTCGGCGCCTGTTGGACCTTGGCGACAAAGGCCATGTGCTTCCACCTCTTTCTTTGAGCGGCGGAGTCCCCGCCGATATTTCCTCCATGGATGAACCCCACCGGATATCCTTGGGCTTCGTCCTCGTCTAGATCATCACACTCTCGCCCAATGTGCCTCTTCTCGGGGTTCCTCGCTTGCGTGGCCACCGCGACCGGCTCGGTCGGCTTCCTCCACGTTCTCCCTTCCGGTGGACCTCGGGAAGGGGCGGCCCCATCGTCTCGCG